TTTAGCATATTTCTATTTATAACGCGTTTTCAGTACTCAAGATGGAGCATAGTGTATCTCTCTATCTCTATTGTATTTACTGTTCCTTAAAACCAGGTTGTGGAAGTTCACGTCGTCTGGCGCAGACGTCTCCATCGCCGATTTCTGTTGAGCTGTGTCCCATTCAACTCGCCGGGCGGTCCAGATCTGAAGCTCCCCCAGGGCCCACGGACAAGGGCTGTCATCTCTCCTCCCAGAGGTCTATTCCTTTGAGCAGCTCTGTGGTTTTCCCTTGTCATGGAACATCCTTTTATTTATTTATTTTTTTTAAATTCCCAAACTAGTTATATAAAGGAAGAGAAAAAGGACAGGAGGTTAAAGCAGGAATCTAAGAATTATTTATATTTTATACATAATAGTGCATATAATATATTATAGGTAGATAGGCAGACAGACTAAATGTGAATTAGGCAGCAAGGCAGTGGAAGATATTAAGGAACTCAGAAAGTGAGGCCTTGGGTTTCCCTCCCAGGAGTGTTGCCAGATCAGTGTGAGGAGCTGCAGAAAAACTGTTTGTCCTTCTTCGTGCCTCAGCGTCACGGTGTGAGATCAGGAAGGGCAGTGCTGGGTGGGGGGCGAGGCATCAACGTCGTCTTGGGTCTTGAGTGCACTGTAAGCGAAAGTGGACCTTTAGCGACCTACGGGATTGAATGGCTGTATGTTTGGAGACAATGCTCGAAGCATCCCTTCTCCTCCTATGAACACCTGGACCTGCTCGCGTCTTTCAAGGCACAGGTTATTCTGGTTCAAGGTCACCCTGGGATCCAAAATCATCTCTTCAGCTGGGGGTGGCTCCTGCATAGCTTGGAAAGGAGGTGGAACTGGTAGGCAATGTCTCTGGGATATGGAGCTCAATCTCTGGCCCAACATCCTATCTTTACTTTAATTCAGTCAGAATTGTGGACTTTTTTCCCCTGGGTACAAAAGGAGTTTTCCATTCTATATTTTTCCAACCCAGACTCTGATAGACACCTGCCCACCCCACCCATTGCTAGAGACAGACACTCACAGATGATATTGGAAGTACCTAGGTAGATGTTTCCAGTACCTGTGTCTCTGCACACACTGGCCTTGCTGTAGGACAGTGCATCTCTTTCCAAATGGGCTGTTCTCTCTCCCTCCAATCTGGAGACACAGCCAGTCCTCTGAGGTCTTGGACATGTCGGTTCTGCAGGGGGATATCAATCCCAAGGGCCAACCCAGTGGAAACCAGTACTGTGATATCCCTGCCTTTCTCACTCTTCGAAGTTGAGAGCTCAGAGCCCGAGCGCTTCACAGGCACCGGTATTCTTATGGGCACTTCGCTCCTCTGGGATGTGCATGACTATGAGCGTTGATCACATCATCGGCCACTGCCGGTGGGCGTCTTTCAGAATATTTTGAAATCTTCTTTAGGTTTGAACGCACTTCCTACTTCCCCCAGGAATCAAGGCTGACTGCAAAGGGGCTGGATTCCACAGGCATGTGGCAGGTTCTAGACTTTTCTTCCTTGGCTCTTGGAAGGGCAGAATTTAGAAGGAGCATGTGAACGTGCTGACATGGGTCAGGAGTCCTGAGGGACCTGTTAGAAAATGTATTCACCATTCCCCAGGAACAAGGTTTGCTCTCTTTGGATGCAAGGCTGATGGAGACCTTCATGATCCTAGAATTCGGCTCCTACCTCACATCCATTCCAGACTGATGTCTGTTCTCTATGACACACACTGACCATCAGAGAGGACCCCAGAGCACGTGGTCCAGTCCCCTCACTCTGCAGATGAGGAAACCGAAGCCCAAAGAAACACAGCTAGACAGGAGCAGAGCCACCCCCAGCCCCTCCTTCCCAGTGTCCCTCTGTCCCTCTCCTGACTTGTCACCTGTAGCTCAGAGCATCCACCTTTTCATTTGTGAAATTCAGATCATGGTTCCCAAACTGGCATGTGTGATAGAAGACCCTGGGAAAGGAATGAAAAGAGTTTGTTCTCTCAGTGACCAGAGTCAATGTGGGCACGCATGTCTACCTTCCCCTCCCCCAGCCCAGCCCCGTGGAAGCCCAGTTAAGAGGGTTAGGATTTGGGATACGAAACAAGCTGACATGACATCTGGTTTGTCTATATTTCTTCGGGACAAGGAATAACAATGAGGATTAGAAACAGCAGAATCTAAATCTATAACCTGCTCTTACTGAGTCTCCTGCTAGAAGAGACTTTCCTAAAACATCTGTCCACCCAGTGATCCCAGCTGTTGTCCAGATATTCCAGCCTTCCTGGATGCTGTCCCCTCCAGAGGCATCTCATCCCTTCGGGAAGAGCATCCCACAGTTCCTTTCAGCAGCCTGTTTCAGGAACCCCTCAACTTTTTAATCCAATCAAGTCTCCTAATATTTATATAAATCTCTTCTGGTTTTTCTTTCTTTTCATTTTCTTTCTTTCTTTTTTTTTTTTCTTCCCCAGAGGCCAAAGTGTGTTTTCCTCAAGCAAACAGGTAGACCCAGGACTGTCTTTGGGTGTCATTATTCTAAAAATGCCTGCAGGCTTCCTTGGCTTATATGGTCTGTTCTCCTTTGGGAGGACTCTCTGGGGTTTGTGTCCCCCAAAGCTTACACAGATCTAATCTAGAAGGTGTTTTTATTTGAATTTTCAAAATCAAGTCTGCCCTGTGCTCAGGAGGCAACTAGATTCTGTGTCATCTCTGAAAAAGGTCCAGGGAGTCCTGCCCCCTTCCCCAGCCTCCAGGTCTTGAGAGTCTCTTCCTAATTAAACGGAGAAATGTTTTTTTATTCCAATTAGATTACAGCGCTGTTTCTCAAAAGAGACCAAGCCCCAGAGTTGAAGATTTTTTAAAGTGACTCCCCCATTCCCTCCACCAGGCTCCAACCAATCAGGCTCCAGAAAAGACTAAATGTGGCCCTGGGCCCAGGAAGGACCTTTCATGCGCTTTCCTGGTGGTGGCTCCCCTGAGAAGAGATGAGGGGCCATAGGAACTGCTCCGTCTCATCAGAGAGTAGGGTGGGTGGGGGTCCTCCCCTGGAAGTGCCAGGCTGAGGAGCACCCCTGCTGGCTGTATGGGAGGAGGGAGCATCCAGAATTGGCCAGCGCCTGGGTGCATTTATCCCCCCAGCAACCAGCCCTGCAGAAAAGGCCCTGCAGCCGCCACCCGCAAGTTAGGGCCATAGGTCCCCAAGCTAATTTGCTTGGCATCAATAAAAATCATTATAATCTATTCTCTTTAAACTAGAAGATGCGGCAGAGTTTGAAAACGTGCTGTATCATGATCCTGCTGTCCTAACACAGCTCTTTTCCCAGTGTGTCTTCCGAGTCCCCTTCCACTGTGGGTATGTTCTGGTGGTTCATGTGCGCGCACATTCTCTATGTCACTGCAGTCGGTTCCCACCTCCAGTTCCATATGCTGCAGTTTGTTTTCTGAGCTGTGGATTAGCAGAGCCCCTGTGCTCCCCGATGTCCTTAGACAGACCTAGCACGGCCGGCCCTGCCACCAGCGCACCCGCTCACTGCTCAAAGTCACAGGCAAACCGAGGCTGCTGCTGTCCCCACTGAGCCCTGTTGGCACCCAGAAGGGTGACAGCGAGCTCAGCAAAGCAATAAAGCGCACTTGCTGTTATTGTCATGCCCCTAAGGCTAATCAGCAGGATTTTTAAAAGTCGATGCCTGCTCTGGGTAGAGCAGAGGTGAAGAACGGGACATTGGTTTAAGAACGTGAAGCCCACGGGCCTACCCGTGGACTTGAGCGATGATCGTGAACTCATGGCCAATCTTCTGTTGTCCAACCCCCTCCCAGGCTGATGAGCATGTTTTCTTTATTGATTTATCATCGCCATTCTTACATTTCTGGATCAAATGCCGCTCTTCTTTCTTTGGACCAAAACAAGTAGCTCCCACCAGATAAAGGCCAGGCAGGGACCAGTCCCAGACCCTGGCCATGACAACCGATGTCTCTCCTTGCACATGTCTCATCCCATGCTGAGTGATCAGAGCATGGCCTTTCCGTGCCGCTGTCTGCTCAGGCCCCAGGCAGGTCATGGAGCGCTTTTCTAGACTTCCTTCCAATGGTAACAGGTGGAGGGGATTTCTGTCCAGTTTACCAGGGTCACGTGTGGTTCATTGGCTGGAGTGGGCAGTTGTGCCCCATAGCAGCAGCTGCCTGAGAGCCGGTTCCTCAGTGCTAGCAGTCAGTTCACCCAGCGCCTTGCCAGTTGGGCCAGAGCGACAGGCAGCTCTCGAAGCTCCCCCTTCCTTTGGCACTTGGGGGTGACTGCCCGTCTTCTTCACCCCAGAGCACAGGGACAGGCAAAGGCTCTGTCTGTCCTGTTCCATCTTCTGTGCATTTCTCTTTGAGTGGATTCAGGTCAAAGGAACTTCTTTCAGAGACCCCCGCAGGACCTCCCGTTCCTTCCCATCGACATTGTAGCTATCATTCCATCTGTTCTAGGAGAACATTCCCAAACCCGAAAGGCTGTCGTCCCTCCTCTCCAGCTGAGCGTAGGTGTCGCTGGGGCGAGTGAGCGTTAGGCCTGGCTTTTGGCAGGACGTGAAGTGTTCAAGGTTATTGGGATGCGCTGGACACTGGGAGAAAAGGTCCTGCTCTAACTTCTGCAAGAACCTTGGTGCTTCCACCTCACCCTCGCCAGCCAGGTGGGCCGAAGGAAAGATACAAGTCGGTAGGAACTTCGGTCCGTTTGCCCCAAGTCCGGTGAGCCTCCTTTCCGTGAGCCGTCCAAAGGCAAGCCCCGTGCTGCCGCGTGCTGTAAACCCGAGCTTCAGGAGCCAGGCTTCCTGCGCCTGGGAGAGAGGTAGCTGAGGACCAAGGGACTCCTTCCCGCCTTTTGTTTACCTTCGATCTGGCTGAATTTAGCTGCCCTTAACTTCTAGTTTTGCTAAAGTCCTTATTGCCTTAATGACCACCTAATAAGCAGTCAGAATGGAAGAGAAGCCCCTCCCGTGGGACCCATCGTAAGCCTGTCCCCATTCCCCAAATGCTGCTGTGCCTCAAAAGAGTCCAAGCCCCATCCCCCATCTCCAAAGCCCAGGGGTCACCTCTTGCTAAGAGAGCGACGTTCCCGGGCTGAGGACAAACCTAGGACTGCTCAGGCGGAGAGATGTCCGTAGCCCACTTTCCCCCACCGAAAACCCGACTCCACCCTCAGTCTCCACCCTACAGCTTCAGATCTGGACTCCTCACTCTCCTCCGCCCCTCCTCTCGTCCCAGAGACCCTGCCCCAATCATGCTCAGTGCTGTTCCTGAAGACCCTCTAGACTTCTTTGTTCTCCGGAACATTCTACTCACCTTCAGCTGCAGCATCATTTCTTCAGCCTCTCCACCAAGCTCTTTAAAATGAAAGGCAGTTGCTGTCTTCCCTTGGACAATAATGAATGTATCTATTGTAAGTGCAGACCATGTAGAGAAGTGGCTGGGTTAAGAAAAAAAAAAAAGAGGGTTTTTGTAAAAGCCTGTTTATTTTTTTAAGTCAGTTTCGAGCATTTCTATTTTACCACCCTTCACATGGTTTTGGGGAACCCAAATTGTATCAAGGTCTCATGCCAAAACAAGCCAAAAGTCGTATTCTTTACCTTTTTCCTCCATGCACCATGATTTCAATGATTGTTTCGGTGTCATTTTAAATGTTTTCTTGTGACATGTACTGACGATAAAAGTCATCTTGACAAAAAAAAAAAGATTTATACATGAATCAGAAAGTATTTATTTCAATTTTGTACCTTTCCATTTTAATACATTATAATGTATTGACTCAACTGAGATAATATAAACAGTTCATTTTAATAACACGTGTGTGTGCATGTCTTTTCCTTTAAGTGTGGCCGGGGAGGGGCAGATAATTGTGGCGTGGAAAATTCTGGCTGGGATGCGGCATGCGTGTTAGTGGAGTGTGGTCTTTAACTGGACCAAACGCCTCTTGCACTGGAGTTGGAAGCAGCTGGCCCCGGGAGAAGAAGAGTGTTAAAGGGTAAGTGGGTGGCGGTGCCTCCAGGTGTGCTGACCACAGCTCCGCCAGGTAGGAGAGGCCCTGCACGGAGCCAGACTGCAGGTGGCAATCGAGGGTTGAGAGAGGGGCTAAGGTGATGAGAAGCCGGAGGGAAAACCCAGTGTTAAAAGAGAGTCTGGGGGTAAGAGAGAGGCAGAAAAGTCCCGGGTGGTACTTTCTGGATATAACACTCACCCCCACCCCCAAGGCCTTATGCAAGGAATTCTGCAAATACATCTTTGGGGCAAACTGCCTTGAGAATAAGCCCCACTGACATGGATCAAAAATGTCTCTTACGGTTCCATTAGGATTATTTCTTTTCACTGCACTAGGAGAAACACAGACTCAAATGCAGCCATACTCATTGCAGGCTCTTTACTGGATGTGAGCGGGAGGTGGGGGGTTGGAAAGAGAGAGGGAGGGCCAGGAGGATGGGGGTAGGCGTCAGACGCTGCTGGGTCTGAGGGCTTGATTTAAACATCTTTCAATACAAATATGGCGAACAAGGTGGTGTTTACATGAGTCTCACGATGTTATTCTCTCCTCTGGGTGCTTGGACATATTCCATTTTCAAAAAGTGTCATTTGGAAAGAAAGGAGGAGCCCTACTTGAAAGGAATCCCTGTGGGTATCACCCCTTTCCGCTCGGCAGGAGGCTGCCCCAGGCTGGACCCCCTGAGGAGTTGGGGACGACCCTGACTCTGGGAGGAGAGGGGGCGCTTTCCCAACAACTGGCCCTTGCATTGATTCCCCCCCCCAACCCGTCGTTCTCGATGTCTCCCTCCCTTCCAAGTTTTTAACTTACAATTTTCTATACCTGCCCTCCTGATACTTCCTCTCTAGGGCAGGCACCTGGAGAGCAGGCTTGTCTTAGAGAAGAGACCACCCTAGAGGAAGGAAACACCGGATGGTGAGTAGAGGGGCCTCCCTCAGCCTCCTCAACCACTCCCAGCCCCTCAGTCCCTCCTGGGAACGTGGGCGAGCTCTGGACAGGGGACTGACTACTAGATTATTCCAAGCCCTAAGCCAAGACTTTAGAAAGGAACCTGTTGCCAATTATACCAAATACATGCTCTTTGGTCCCATGAAGGGGCAAACTGGGGGACACATCTAGTAGGAAAGAAACAGAAAGCCCTGTCCTGTCCACTCATTGCTCAACCTTGTATTAAATGGATGGGTGATCATTAGCTTGCAGAGGGTTCAGCTGTTTAAAGATAGTTTGGGTTCTGAGGAGAAGATATGGGGGCTCCTACTGGTTAGTTTGGCTAAAATCCTTACTAAATTGAGTTTATCCACTTTAGTAAAGGTTTTTGTCAAAGCCAATTAGAAAGGACCCCAATTCTGAATTTTCGATCTTGGGTAATATGGGTCTAGAATTTAAGGTTCTCTCCCTGTGCCAATGTGTAATTTTGCTGTGATTCCAGACCCTGGCTTAGTCCATTCTGGCTGCTATAACAAAATACCATAGACTGAGTGGCTTATCAATAACAGGAATTTATTTCCCACTGTTCTGGAGGCTGAAAGTCCAAGATCAAAGTGCTGCCAAACTTCAGGTCTTGCAAGGCCCACTTTCTGGTTCATACACAGTGCCTCATTGCTGTGAACAAGCTCCCTGGGCCTTCTCTAAGGGCACCAATTCTAGTCATAAGAGCTCCACCTGCTTACCTCCCAAAGACCCACCTCCTCATACTGTCACCTTAGGGGTTAGAGTTTCAACCCATGAACTCTGGGGGGACAAACATTCAAACCCCAGTAGACCCTCTTTTCTCTGTAATGCACAGAGACATTGGTGATTCCCTGTTCCCTTGTACTTGGGGTTGGGAACAGACTATTGTGGGCACATCCTGTAGCTAACTGGGTGAGCTGCTGTCCAGTTTCCACTTGCTGGCCACACACACAGGGAACTCCACTCCCAGGAGGTCCCAGTGCACCACCCATCAGCCCTGGCCCCTGCCAGGTAACCAAGCACCATGGAGGCCCATTTGGACACACTTTTCTGAAGTCAGAAGCAGCGGAAGTGGAGTCCCTGTATGCCTTCTTTTTCCTTGTTTCCTTCCAGCCCCCTCCTCTGCCTCCTGTCTCCCAGGCCTGGCCTGACCTCCTCTGCCCCTAGATTCCAGCCCATTGATTTGAATGATGGGCCCTTTGTAGAACTTCAATGCCACCGGCAGGGAGAGTTTGCTCCTGGGGCCCAGGGTTGGTTGGCCTCACAGTCTGTGCCCCAAACTTGGTCTGTGCTCCAAACACAGGGAGACTGGGAAAGAAATCCAAGTTGGGTGGGTCCTGCCTGACACTGCTTTGGCTGCTAGAACTCTAAGATCACAGCTCCAGCTGCTTCACTGCCTTGTGACAGTCTTTTTCTCAGCATGATGTTGAGGACACATTCACTCCTGTAAGCTCCTAGCTGACTTCTCTTGTGCAGACAGACCCACAGAGCAGCTTCTCACTTTACATCAAATGCTTTACTTACATCACTTCAGTGCCTTCAGGAAAAGACTCCCCTCCCACGCATCTGCACAGTGATCTCTAAACTGCAAGGCAAAAATAAGTGCAGGAGAAATGTAAGGAGGAAGAAATGGAAGGGGAAGCCACATCACTTGGCTACAGGAGACACCTTGGCCTTCAGAGGTGCTTCTCTGAATGCTATCCCTCAGTGGATGTTGGGAAGGGAGCGCTGACCTAGCTCAATGCCAAGTTTTAAGGCAAGAATGCAGCCTGTACAGCTCACAGAAAATGGGAACTGGTCTTGCAAATAAGGAAGGGAAAAGGTTTCTGAGGCTCCTTCAACATGACATGCTGTTATGCTTAGGATGACACGTTATGCTTAGGAAAAACGTAGAACACAAAGGAATATTTCAGAATTTTTATATATACGTTGGAAAAAAATCCCAGCTCTATCTGAATTATACTCTCATCTTGTTATGCAAACTCTCCTCATCCACCACCTGCGAAAGTGGCCTCAGCCATCCGGGGAGGAATTTTTGAAGCTCTACTACAGATACGGTAAATCTGATGGATCTTGTCCTCTCCCTGAAAATGACACATAAACATTAACTAAGAACAGGAAAGAAAACACTTAGAAAATTTTCTATTTTCTGTTCATTTTTACTGGGAGTAGCTGGTCCCTTATAGACCTTGACTAAAAGCCTAGACCCATAAAATGATGTTGGATGACTGTAAGAAAAAAATATATATTCCTTTGGGAAATCATCTCTGATTAGAGCATAGATTCCCAGTTGAGTTTTTTCATTTTCCCTCTCTCTCTCTGATTCTCCTGCTTGGTGAATGATATTCCTGGATTTGCTGTTAATGTTTGTGGTCCAATCATGGCTGTCCTTCCCCCGACCAAAAAAGAACACCCTCAGAGTCTGTTAGGTTTAGCCTGGAAAGTGAATGTCTGTCTGGGGCTGAACAGTGCCTCTCACAGATGACTGTCCCTGTTCCTCCTGAGACCCCTGCGCTGGCCACTCCTTCACTGTGCTGCTCTTGTTTAACCCTGACAGGCACAGCTGGGGTGACCTGGAGCTTTCTTAATGTCCTTACTGAGGATCAGGTGAGAGCAACAGGGCAACAAGCAACTATCAGATAATAAAATGGTCACAGCTGAGCTTCCAGACCCCTGCCCCATGCCTTCCCCATGTGTTCTGAGCTATTTCCACCCTGGGCCAGTGGGTTGCCAGATACTGAGTCCAAATCCCTCACTTCTTAGTTCCCAGCCTGGCTCCATATGGAGGATGGAGGGCATCTTCTCACGGGCCACCGGCCAGAATCCCCCTTCTCAATAGTTTGCCCACTTTTTCAACAAGGCCAAGAGAGATGAATCCTGTTGGCAATCCCTTGCTCCTTTCTGTTTTCTCTGCTCTCAGAGACATAATTCTTCTCTCCCGTGACTCCTGTAAATAACCTCACCTTTCAGGTGAGATCCCAAATCCGCAAGGCAGCCTTACCCATGTAACGCCAAAAGTCAATTATTAAAATACTAGTTTCATCTCCAGGATCAGAATGTCTGGGCTTATTTTTTGGTTCTTACCATCTGTATAAACATATTAATATCTCATGCCTCAGTTTTCTCATTTGTAATATGGGGACAATAATAACACTCGCCTCCCAGGGATTTTGTGAAGATTAAATGAAATAATACACATAAAATATTTAGGACAAGGACTCCTACGTAGCATTATAACAAGCAATCTTAGCCACTATTTTTATTAGTTGGCATTATACACTATTTCCCTCTTTGCACTGGATGCTCCATGCTCAAGACCAAGTTTGTAGCTCACCTTGAAACTTCAGCTCACATTTACGGTGTGCATTTCTATACACTAACTTTATCGTTGACTTACTTTATTTTTCCTACCCATATTTTCTCTCTTTGACCTGATTTCTTCCTATTTTTTTAAAAAAAATCTAGTTTATGTAAGTCACTTCAAGTGTTTTGGTTTCTCTTTTTGTTTGTTTGTTTTTTTAGAAACAGAGTCTTGCTCTGTCACCCAGACTGGTCTTGAACTTCTGGACTTAAAGCTATGCTCCTACCTCAGGCTCCCAAGGAGGTGGGATTATAGGCGTGAACCACTGTCCCTGGCCCACCTCAAATTTTCTAAGGAAGAAAGTTAAATACTGACTTCCTGATCAATTCACTATTCTCCATTGTATATAACTACCTTCCATTTTCTCTGGTATAACTAAATAGGTCTGTTAATTATCCTGAAGTGTCCATGATTCTGCCTTCATGAGTCCAATTTCCTAGTTTAGTATTGTCCCCTGTGTCACAACTTACCTGCTCCCTGCCTTGGCTGTGCAAATTTCATTCATTTGCATTTCCTTATCCCTCCTGAGTCTTCACTGATAGCTATAAATATCCTTTTGTGTTTCTTCTTACTAACCAGAGGGGTTTACCTTGTTTTTCTAGATTCCTAGTTGAAGGGTTTCATCTAAAACAAAAATCTAGTTCTTCACATAGTTTCTCTCGGCACCTGGGTGGTACTCTTTCATTTATATGGGGAAAGATTCTGTTTGCACTGTCATTTGCAGTTCACTGAGAGTCACCTGGCCAAAGACACGTCTTTACCTGAAATTGTCATCGCCTGTCTCTTCATAACTAACTCGCCTGGAGACAGTTACTTTACTTTAGCAAACATCTGTGGAGCCCCTGCCACACTCAAATTATTTTGCTAGGTGCTGGTATGAATACAGAGATGGATATGATAAAGACAAAGTTCCAGTGTGTGTGTTGTAGAAGAGGAAATAAATAAAAACTTTTGCCTTGTTGAAGGCATCGCGTTAAAGAGAGAACCTTTTCTTCGCAATTAGTTATCCGCTTAACGTGGGATCCCGCAGACAGACCAACAGATGGAGAGATATCAGATCTATCATTCATCTGTATCAGAGGGCAGAGGTAAGCCGTGAAGAAGGGATGGGACGTCACGGTGCCAAGTCCTCCTGTCCTGTCGAGTTTCTCAAACTCCTTGTCCGCACGGTTCATATAACACTGACGGCCCTAAGGACGGCTGTTTACACACTTCTTCTCCCCAAGAGACTGAAGTGCTTGAGCGCAGAGTCCTGACTTCTCTCCCTTATGCACCACGCCGGTATTTAGAACTCAAGGAGGAACACGCCACAGGTAGCCTTCGCCCAGCGCAGACGCTGAGCCGACGCTGTGGGAGGAGGGACTTACGCACATCCAATCATTTCGTACGCATCCCGCTGTAGCAAATGAGCGACGAGTACGTCATCCGCCTCCGCCGCCCCGCCCCTGGCCGCCGCGTGGTGGAGGAGCCCGTCGCGCGCTACTGACGTCACCAGCATGCGCGCCGGCCGCTGCAGTCCACCTGGTAGACTGTTCTGGGACTTCTAGCTACTTCCGAGACCGCTGCCGGGTGGCCGCAGTCGCCAAGTCCGGAGGTCCCGGTGTCACACATAGGCTCTGCGACATGTCGATGCTGGCTGAGCGTGAGTGTCGGACGCGGAGGCCAGACCCGGGCGCTACGGTGATCTTATGGTGCAGGGGGACGCGGGTCTCCGGCGCGCCCTGGGCGGGGTTGTCAGAGGCCGGGGGTCTCGGGGCTGGGAAGCCGGCCCGGCTCGCACTGCCCGCCGCAGCGGTCTGCCAAGCCGGGCCTTCCCCGAAAGTTAGTGGGCTGTCTGACCGCGAGTGTTTCCCCGAGACGCCTGTCCTCACACTCACACCCGGGATGCGCGCGGGGGGTTCGGAAGGGAGTCAGGACGCTTGGGCCTGGGCCTGGCCCTGCTGCCGCCGGTCCGGGGACCCGGACTGTGTTCTTCACTCTCCGGGTCTAAGCTTCCTCAGGTCGAAAAGAGGAGGTGAGGCCGGAAGGATCATTTCAGGCAGTGTAATCTAGTTATCGAAGATGTGTTGGACCCAGAAAAAGAAAAACAAAGGGGTTAGAAGTTATCAAACACAAAAAGCCTTTTTTGGGGTGGGGGACGTGCAGGGCTGATGAGTAACTGTACATAAGACTGACGGTTTTGACTTGGTTCATGGAATTACTCTATCACTGAAGTGCTGGTCTCAACCCCCACCCTGCCTCCTTTTGCCTTTGACATTTACCCTCACTTTGTGGAGCGAAGTCGGTGAGTTCCCTGTTTCTGGAGAGGCTGTTTCACTTCCGAATGGTGCCTGTAGCTAAGGCTGCTCGCCACCAGATGGCAGTCATGCTTTGGCCATGAAAAGTCAGTCCTTAACTTTTCTTTAAAAGTTGTGTAGTGAGCAAGGAACGGAAACAGCTTATTTAACAGACCACCTGCACGACTGTTTGTGAAATAAATGCTGTTAGGCATCCTAATTTCTAAGAGGATGGAGCTCGAAACGAAATGGATGAGGCACCGCAGAAATTGAAGTTCAGAGGAAATAATTTGCCCCAAGTCATTGAGCTAGAAAGTGGCAAACTTGGCAAACTTATCTTTACATCTTTATGTTCTTACCCCTGAGATCAGCAGTTTTATACTGTTCTTAAATGGGGACTCATAGAAAGGAATATATTTTAGACAGTGAATCTTTGGGCTCTATTTTCTTGCTCTGTAGAAATGAGCAGTCAAGATTAGAGCCTAGATAGTCAAAATCTGTTCTGGTTTATTCTTTAATGTATACTTAATTCAGCATGCTCTTGGAAACATTGGCCCTGGCTTTGCCATTCTCTTATGTCTATTTCCTTTGTCAGTTTTTGTGAAGCTATTAAAAAAGTTCTGTTACCTTCATCATTAGATTGCCTTTAAAAAAATCAGTGAGATGGTGAACATGAAAATGGTTTGAAAAGTTTCAGGTACAATAGAGGTATAAAGTGCTATTAATATTTGTAGACATCAGTAGTTCAGATTGCTTTTCAAGAGAAGGTTTGCAGTTTTTCTCTCCCAATGATTATTACAAATTTTCAAATCCTTCTCATGATATACAGTATTTTGTGTTGTTCTTTTTTATAATTTGCTAAATTAATGTTTACAGCATTCTCTGTGATTAGATATTTAGGATTAGTGTTGTTAAAAGGAAAAACCTTAGACCAGATACATTTAACGGAGTTTGATTGAGCAAAGAATGATTTGAGAATTGGGCAGCTCACGGAACCAGAACAGGTTATAAGAACTCTGGCCTGCTATGTGGCCAGGCAGCATTTATGGACAGTAAAGGGAAGTGAGATACAGAGATAGTTTAATTGGCTACAGCCCAGCCTTTGCATTTGCTGTATTTGAATCAGCTGGCTGCCTGCAATTGACTCAGTTGCTTGTTACAAGAACATACTCCTCAGTTCGGCTTTCACTTAGCTTACATACTAAATTGGGTTGCAGTTAGTGAACATTTTCAGTTAAGTATGCTGTTTCCTTTGTTTCCCCCTTGTCTTATGGATTGTATTTTGTTTCCTTTCATCACCACAGGTACTTTTTCTATTTTTTAAAATCTAGCGATTTTCATGGTGTTATTCAAAAACATTCTTTATCCTGTATTTCTCTAATCATTAAATGTTATTTTATTAGGTCTCTCCAATGTAAGACAAGAAATCTAGCTTACACAAACTTCTTCCTGTATAAGACAAGAATTTCATTTATCATCCTCACTTTCCAGGCTTTATATAATTTGGAGTTTTAGACTTAGATTATTCATTGAGACATTACTTTTTTCAGACTCTTTCCTTTTCTAGACCAATCTTTGACACTTGTAGTCATTACATTTTGTAATCAAATCACAATACTATAGTTAATGGCTTTTAAATTCTCATTGCATTAAAATTTTATATTACAGTTTCCTCAATCTTGAATATGTCTGGAATAATTTTTTTAATTCTTTTTATTTCATCATATTATGGGGATACAAATATAGTTAAGGTTACATATATTGCCCTTGCCACCCCTGAATAATTTTTTAATAAAAATACATGGGTGGTATATTTTGAACTCTTGAACATCTGAAAGCGTCTTTGGAAAAATAAAAAGATGAAACTTCTGTCCCTGGCTTTTGGGACTCAGCACATCCTTTAGAGTAAGCTGAGTCCTGGCATAGGTCATGTAGTGCCAAGCACAGAGTAATTGAAGTCCCTTGCAGCTGTCGTATGGACCGTTTTTATTGGCATTACCACAAAATGTATCCTGACGGAGCCATACAGTTAGATCTCCAAATAGGAGTCATTCCCCCAGCTAGAGGATAGTTAACCACATTGTTCCAATTAGGGATTCTGCAGATTCAGGGCACCCTACCCTGTGGTTCAGTGCTATGTTATATATACTGCCATTCCAGCTTGTGTCAGGGGTTCCCAAGGTCATCCCCAGATTCATTGATTTGCTGAGGTACAGGGCTCAGCGTGTAGGCAGACTCATGGCTGAGATTTATAACAACAAAAAGATGCAGAGCAAAATCAGCAAAAGGAAAAGGTGTGTGGGTACAGTCCAGTGAGATAATGTGCTTAGATTGATGCAGTAGGCCAGTGACACTGGCCTCCAAATTTCTTAGGTGATCACAGTCAACTTTGGGTTTCATATCCTTATTCTTTGAACCTTTGGGATTCTTTATCTCTGCTATAATTTTCTTTAAAACTACAAGATTAAACTTGAGTTTATAATGGTGAGTAATTTATATGCATTTAAAAAATATTTACCTTGATAAGACTCAAAATGGTTCCCTTAATCCAATTATCTTCCTTGCTTCCTTCCTTTTTTTCCTTTTCCCTTTTCTTTCCTCCCTCCTTCCTTCTTTTTCATTCTTTCACATATTTATTGAGTGCCTGCTATGGGCAAAGTGTTTTTATACTTCTTGCAGTGAGACATAAGAAAAAATAAAACATGAATATGAGTCTTAAGGAGATTATGGTCTAATAGTAAACATAAAAGATGGCTATAAGTAACTGTATTACAGTAGACTGTTAAGTGCCAAAAAAGAAATCAATAATTTATTCCAGAAATTTAAAGCAGCAGTAATTTGGCCTTAGGGCATCCTGGTGAGAAGGGATGGTGTCCCATCTGTAGGTCACTTGTGTGGAGAGTGCAGTTGCCTCTCTCTAGGAGCATAATGGCTGCTATATGTTGTGCATTAGGAATAGCAGCTTTGAAGTCAGTAGGACTTTGATTTGTTTAAAGGGTCTGGTTTTTACTTAGATATGTTAGGTAGATTTTTTTCTCTAAGCCTCAGATTTTCTCATCTGCAAGTAGAGATGATAGTATCTACCCTTGTTGGGTTACTGTGAAAATCTAATTGTGTGTAGCGTTTGGCACATAATGCGTAGCAGTGGACACTGTAACAACTGCTGCTGCTGCTGGTGATGTCAATGCTGATGTTGGGAGAGGCCTTCACTTGCTGCCGATGGCTGAATGTGGAAGGCCCAACTCTGGTATCTTGAGTTTATTTCACTTTGTCACATTTGAAGGGAGCACTTCAATTTTAATCTTATGAGGTCAATTTATATGTTGAGAGTATACCGTTATTAGGGAAACCAGGATAAATGATCCAGTCTATTAACTTTCTATTGGATGTTGAATCTAATATCTGTATCATAATGTGTGTCATATTTTATGCAAGTATGTGTGCATGTGTTATGTATTAATATGTGTGTATCTGTGTGATATTTCCCAGATCCGAAATATAGATTGCTGATGAGATACTTCTTCATTTCTAGGTCGGCGGAAGCAGAGGTGGACTGTGGATCCAAGAAACACTGCGTGGAGTAATGACGATTCCAAGTTTGGCCAGAGGATGCTAGAGAAGATGGGGTGGTCTAAAGGAAAGGTATTTTGGGAACAGCAAAAATAATCTGAGCCATGTGAAGAGATTACAGATGGGGAGAAAACATCCTCCTTATGAGACTGGAAGAAGTTTATGTTTTGGATCAATAAGTAATTTTGATCCCAAATCAAAAATTTTCATGACCATATGGTAATAAAATTAGAATTAGACATAAATGCCAACTCTTTTTATCATTTAAAGCCATGATTAGCGTCTTTTGTAGACAGTACCTTTTAACTAGTAGCTTGTGGAATCATATTTACCCATCAGAGTTTTATATTTTATTCTCCTTTGTAACTAGACTACATATTTTTTTTTCATTTCCTTACATACTATTTATTTTTGACTCCAGTAGGACTTCTACTGATATCTCTCCATTTAAATGAGTTTGTTAAGGTCTTTAGTGATCTGTTGCCAAACCCAGTGGACCCATTGTTTGTTTTCACGTTACTTAACCCGGTGGTAGCATTGGACATAAGTGACTGCTCTCGTCTTGTGACATACTTGTCTTGGCTTCCACAGTAGCCAAGACTCCTGTCCTCCTTTTACCTCACCAGCCATTCCTAAAGTCGTTGCTGTCTTTTCTTCCTCCTCCAGACATGTGATTGTTGCACCTCCTTGGGGTTCAGCTCCAGGCCCATTGCTGTAGTTTGCGCAGGTGATTTCATTCATTCTCATGCCACACTTTAAATAAAGTCCGGGAACTGCCATTTTTCTATATCTAGTCCAGTTCTGTCCTCTGAGCTCCAAATTTGTAAATTCAATAGCCTACTTGACATCCACACAAGTAAGCATCGCAAGGGGATCATTTTTAGTATAAAACACTTGATCCCTCAAATCTTCTCAAGTATTCCCTGTTTTTGCAAATAGTACCATTCACCCACCTGTTCTAGCCAGAAGCCCAGGAGTCATGCTCGCTCCTGCTCTGGTCCAGCCATAGTCATCCTCTCTCTGATACCCTCCTCAGCCTCTCAGCTGCTTCTCTGCCTTCCTTCTTTTTCTCCCCTGGCCTGTTTGCCATATAATAGCCAGAGTGATCTTGTAAAATATGGAAATTAGATCAGGTCATTCCCTTGCTTGAATGACCAGTGGTTTCCCATTGTGTTTAAAATAAAATCTGAATTCCTACCATAACTTCCAAGGTCATTTGTGGTCTGTCCTTTTCCTATCATCTTACTTGTTCTTCATTCACTGCTGAAGCTTTCCTGGGTACCTGAGGTTCTCCAGTAACCAAGCTCTTTTCCACCTTAGGGTCTCTGCATTTGATTCTCCCCTTACCTGGAACATCTTACTAGTGAGTGTTAACTGAGGCAAGGGACTTGGAGTCACCCCTTCCTTTTTCCTCATTGTTTTGTAAAAGTATTTGATGGAGAGCCATGGACCCATAATACCAAGGACACCCACGATGGGCTTCTGGCCTTGTTGTGGCAGTGCTCTGCTGCTGAGTGTCAGCAAGAGGCATGGTCCTCTTAGTGTTCACATGAGACTTTTATTGCGAAGAACTGTCACTGATGTGCACCCTTGCTATTATGGACATATTATCTTGTAGGAATCCTTTAGACTGGGTCCTCTGAGGTGAGGATAGTGCCTCACTCTAGGTGTTCAGTAATTAGTTGAACGTTGGAAGGAAGAAAGGTAATCTCTCTACCTGGTAAAAATGCTAACTCTCTTTGTGTTTAATCTCCACAGGGTTTAGGGGCCCAGGAGCAAGGAGCCACAGATCACATTAGAGTTCAAGTTAAAAATAACCACCTGGGCCTTGGAGCGACAGTAAATAATGAAGTGAGCAACACGATGCCTGCTGGGGGTTGTCCTTGCATAACTAACTTCGGTTTTGTCAGTATAAAAATTTTAACCCAGTAAAGTTGATTGATCCCTTTTTAACTCTTCAAGTATGTATTATCCATGTTTTTAGATAAATAAAGAGCCCCCGGCTAAGCTGGTTCTTCAGGTGAAACATGCCGTCACCTTGCCTTATTGCCCTCATGGGTCCTTTGCTTGCTTATGCCTAAGAAATCCAAACTAGTTTATTGCTAAACTTTGCAAAAAGTTTTCTTTTTATAGAAATATTCGTTTCAGGACAGAAAGGAATTTTTAAAATCTTTGCCTGTGTTCTGATATATCATGTTTATATCATGAAAAGTTGTTGGCATTTACTTTCAGAAATACTGCAAGAAAGTGGTGTTTTTTTCCTGTCCCTTTGTCTGCCTCTGACTGTTGTATACAGCAGTTGAATTTATTCACATTTCCTCTTGAACACTGACACTTTGAAAATGTGGCACTGTAATTAAAAATGAGTGGCCTGCCATGTTTTTCATTTTCAATATCATTGTTTCCTTTAACAAGTATCTAAGCTGAAAGTTTTGTTGCTAAATTTTTGAAGTTGACAGAATCTGTTAGAAAATCTGGAGAATTGCTTTAGGTAAACTGACAGACTTTGATGAGTTCAGTAGCTCTGAGTAGTGCGTTGGAGCAGCTAAAATTTTCAGCCACTAAGGAAAGCATTTCTATAAAGTTGATTTCCAGTGGAGTTGTTGAAAGATAGGTAACACAGACATACTTATTTTCTTAGGAGAAGCGTTACCCAATAAACCTATTCAATATGCCTTTACCTTAGATATTCTTAACAAAAAAAGCTTAAGAATGTATATGGGGCAAATTCGTACATTGAAACCCTATATGCCAGTGGTTTCTATTTTTTGGAGATCTTCATTCTCTTATATGCCGGATTCTCTTCGTTATGATGAACTTATTAGTTAACCACCTTGCAAATGGGGGCTCGTTGATTCAGGGGACTTGAAGTCCTTCCTCCTCCCCTTCCCCAGAGTTTTGTAAAATTGGGGTCAGTGCAGGTAATTAGAATTGGGCAAAATATTTTAAGTGCTATGTAGCAAGGAAGGGAGCTTCTATGTCCCTAACTGCTCTTGTCCTTTGAACTACATAATTTTCCCTAGTGAGAAAAAAATAGTAATTTTATTTTGCTTTGTTTTAATATTTCACATGCAGGTGTGTTGATGATTTGACTATAAGTTGATTGTTGAAATCAGAGTGTACGCTTCCAAGAAGCCCCTTTTTAATAATGATGCGGATAAATAATATTTTGAGTTTCTATTTCTTAAATTCATTTAAATATATCAAATAGTATTTTGATGAAACATTTAAAATTTCATATTAACTACCAGATTTCCTTGATGACACAATGTATCTTAGTGTAGGTAAACTCCAGGCTTGCTGCTCATTCACTTTTTTGATGTTTTCAGGACAACTGGATTGCACATCAGGATGGCTTTAACCAGCTCCTGGCTGAACTGAACACGTGCCATGCGCAGGAAACAGCAGGTAGGAAAACAGAGTTGTTTTCCCTCAGGTTTATAGAAGACATAAGCTCTCAATGTATAATATTTTTATCAATGTTTTTTGTTTTTATTATTTTTTTAATTGGCACATAATTATTATACATATTTACGGGATACAGTGTGCTATTTCAATACGTTTATATAATTTATAATGATCGAATCAGGATAATTAGCATATCTGTCACTGCATTTATTATTTCTTTGTGTTTGGAACATTCAAAATCTAATCCTAGCTATTCGAAAATATACAATAAATGGTTGTTCATTATAGTCATCCTATGGTGCTATAGAACTGCGGTCCCCAGCCCCTAGGCTGAGGACAGGTACCAGTATGTGGCCTGTTAGGAACTGGGCTGCCCAGCATGAGGTGGGGCTGGAAGTGAGTGGCAGCGAGGAAGGGAAGCATCTGTTTTTACAGCCGCTCTCCATCACTTGCATCACCACCTGAGCTCCACCTCCTGCGAGATCAGTGGAGGCTTTAGATTCTCATAGGAGCAGGAACCCTGCTGTAAACTGCATTCGGGAGGTCTAGGTTGTGGCTCCTTATGAGAATCTAATGCCTGATGGTCTGAGGTGGAGCTGAGGCGGTGATGCTAGTGCTGGGGAGCAGCAGCAAATCCAGATTATCATTAGCAGAGACGTTTGACTGCACAACAAATGTGATGTGCTTGAATCATCCCCAAATGATCACTCCCATTCCTCAGTCCATGGAAAAATCATCTTCCATGAAGCCAGTCCCTGGTGCCAAAAAGGTTGGGGACCACTGCTATAGAACACTAGAACTTATTCCTTCTCTCTAGGTGTACTTCTGTATCCATTAGCCAGCCTTTGGCTATCCCCCTCCCCAAAACCTTCCCCACCTCTAATAACCACTATCCCACTATCCCATAAAACCACTTTTATGAGATCAACTCTTGGCTTCCACAAATGAGTGAGAGTGTACAGTTTTTATCTTTTGGGCCTGGTTTATTTCACTTAACATAATGTCCTCTGAGCTCATCCATGTCTTGAATGACAGAATTTCACTCTTTTTATAAGGCTAAGTATAATGGTATTCCATTCTGTGTATGCACCACATTTTCTGTATCCATCTTTTGATGGACACTTGAGTTGATTCCATATTTTGGCTACTGTGAATAGTGCTATGATAAACATGGGAGCACAGACATCTCTTGGTGATACACTGATTTTCTTTCCTTTCCATACATACCCAGTAGTGGAATTGTTGGATCATATGGTAGTTCTATTTTTAGTTTTTTAAGGAACCTCCATACTGTTTTCCATAATGGTTGTACCAATTTACATTGCCACCAATAATGTATAAGAGTTCCTCATTCTCCACATCCTCACTAGCATCTGTTGTTTTTTGTCTTTTTAAATATTTTTGTGAACTCTTTATTGCAAGCATCACATATCTGAAAGTCAACTGATTAAAGCTGTTTCAAATATTCATTTCTGTTTACAGTTTAAAGATGCATTCATTGGATGAACCTTTAGCCCTAAGCAAACACTTTTTTCTCTATTAAGAGTTTGAGAATGGCAAGATAAATCAATTCAGTTTGTACCTTGAATAGGAAACTAATCTTTCCAGGGATTCTTGAGTATGAGAGAAAGCTGTTTTGTTAAGCACCACAACATGGGAAATAAATGATCTTTTCAATAAATGGTTTGGGGACAGTTAACTGTCCTTATAGAAAAAAATCAAACTTGACCCTTACCCCATACCATACACAAAAGCAATTCCAGGTGGATTTATTAGCAAGAATATGATAAGCCTAGCAGTAAGGCTTTTAGAAGATAATGTAGAAGAATTAAGGAAAGATTTCTTAAACAAGACATATATGTTCCTGTGTATTATGGATTTGTCATAATAAAATAAATCTAAAAACTACATGGGTCCCTTTTTGATAGACTCAAGTTAAAATATGGCATGTGTAATTTATGTCATATTAAAGCTGTAATGAAAATTGATTAAAGAGTAGCAGATACAGCAATTTGAATATCAGGTATCAGTGTCTATCTACCTTAATGAATATCTCATTCCTCTTTATATTTCATATATTTCAGTGTAAGGTTGTGCCAGAGTTTGCTCAGCTATTTATTCACACATTGAAGGACTTGTGGGTTATTTTCATTATTTTACCATTATGAATACAACTATTAACATTGGTGTATAGGTTTCTGTGTGAACACAAGTTTTCATTTCTCTTCCTCATTAATTACTAATGAGGATTTCATTAATTTCTGAAGGATAGTCTGGCCTGATCCATAGTACAGTTTAAAAAAAAAAAATTCTAACCATTTGATCTGAGTTCAATCATAAATGATGGGGCTCTAAATTTTTATTTAAGACCATTTGCTGTAAGACAGTGAGAATGGTTACATACAGTTTAATATAATGCTTTTCATCTTTTTAAAAAATTTTTTTAAGACTCCTTAGACAACAAGGAAAAGAAATCTTTTAGCCTTGAGGAAAAGTCCAAAATCTCCAAAAACCGCGTTCATTATAAGAAATTCACAAAAGGTAAGATTAAGTACTTTTTTATTTGTTGTTAAAATCTGTATGTTTGTACTGAGTTTCTTGAAGCATTTTTAACTGCTGGCCAGCAGTGACATCTTGTGTGGACAGTGTGACTGACTGGCTGATGAAACAGTCTGTGAATCTCGTTAAAATGCAGGTTCAGGTTCAGTAGATCTGAGATGGGCCCAGGTTAGCTTTACAGGAAGTACAAGTCCTATGGTGTAGATGAAAATGGAAGTCATCTTACTGTTTAAAGGAAAAAAGGACTTTATGTGGCTAGGTTGGAAAATAATTTTAATTTATTGCTCAACAATTTTTAGCTACATTTTTCATTTCTTTAAGAGCTGAGTGTTGGTGTTGAATAGTTCCTATTGTGCCGTTTGAGAGAATGTCGGTCTGTACTGAGAACTCCAGTATTATAAATTGAACTCCCTAGCAGACCCTTGTATTATTCCAGTGCCTGTTTCACAGGGGTGTTACCATAGGCATTCCAGCGTCATTGTCAACTTTTTCCCATCTTCCTCCATCACTACCCGCCACGTGGTCACTTGTGAGTGCAGTTGTCCCCTTTAACCACTAGGTGGCGGTATTGTACTGGTTGGAAACAATTGAATTTGAATTTACCAAACCAGTGTCATGAGTTCAACACACTTTCCAGCCACAAAAGGCTACTTATTACACAATATACTTGAAGTATAATAAGTATGATGATGATGATTATGTGGTCATATTTGGCCACCATTTGATGGTTCTTCTCTGGGAGGTTTCCTACCTCCATATGCCAGGAAAAGCCCATCTCTTGCTTTAGTCTTGTTGCCATGAGGGTAGAGTCCTTACCTCCTGGAACCACCTGGATAGCAAGGGGAGCAGGACTTGCTCTGATCTGTTGCTGGTGTTTCTTATTTGGGGCCAGGACCCCAAAAGGTAAGGCTGTGTTTGGTTTAACTGCGAGTGTGGGAGAGCTGGGCAGCCTGCAGCCTGGTGCCAGGAGGGCCGGCTGCCCCTTCTCCTGGCAGGTGCGCCTCCTACCTTCTCCCTGCCTCCCTCTTCCTTGCTAGCTGCAGGGCTTCCGACGAGGGTCCCCCTTCATTTGCCCTTAGTCTGCTGCAGAAGAGAAATAGGCTTTGTCAGGCCCTCAGTTCTTTGAGGAGAGGGTAAATGGTCATTTATCCAGTCCCTCAGATATCCCTTCTTTTTCCATTATACCCTGTAGGAAAAAAACAGAGATACAGCAGATGAGCGTTGTTACAGAGCAAGTTAATGAAATTAAGAGTGGGCTGCAACTTTTGTATAGTATAGCAGCCCTTTAAGCTTTCACTGTTGCAAATAGAATCTTCTGATTGTCCTTTAGTACCTGACTACATGCGTGATTTCATCTGAAGCATTTGCTGAAGCTGGGATAAACCACTTTAATCCACTTTAATATAGTGGATGCCAGGAGTGTCTGCTTTCTATTTCCAGCTAAGCCACTCCCTTGCTGGGCGACCCTGTCAAACTGCTTGGTGTGTTGTGCCTTTGTGTTCTTCGGTAATGTGAGGCTTGTGCGTTCATTAGCCCTGCTTGGAGAGAAGGGGGAATGGGTATGCAGGGAAGAAAGAGTTGAAGATACAGTGTGGGAAAGGTAGAAGGGGGGATATAGTGGGGAACCCGAGGACATGCAAACTGGGGCTAAGTGGAAAAGAGGAGAGAAGGAAACAGAAACGCAGGTAGTGAAGAAAACAGTGGTCGACCATCAGCTTCACAGCCCACAGTGAAGGCTTATGTTACCGTCTCCCCTAAGGTGGACCATCTCAGATCACAGAAAGCCTGGCTTCTGGCCATTGCTCTCTCAACAAATCTCCTGACTGTTTGCCTTCTTTCAGACTCAGTTTCCTCTTTTGTAAAATGAGGAAACATTTATAAGTCACTATTTATAAGTCTAACGTAGGTTCTGTTTTATAATTTTTCAGAAACGACCCATTGTATGGAACTTGTGCTTTTTCATTATAGATAATTAGGATTTTAGCCAGTGCATATGCTCATAATGAAAGTAATTCACTTAGTTGATGAGGATGATTCAATAACTCATACGCAGTCCAGGAAACTAAAACACAGAAAGATAGCATTTTATATAGCTTGGTGAAGAGCGAAGATACAAATTTTACTTTATTAAGATTACAGTAGCAAATAGTATTGTAAAATTTGTTACTATCTAAATGTTGGCTATAGCCTTTTAGTTCTGATACTTAATTGTTCCTTTCTCTACCCCTAAATTTAGAATTTTAATTAGAAATAATTTATTATATAATTTCATAAGTCAGTTTTATCTACATTTGTTTAAAAGCCTAACTCTAATGTGGTTTCTTTTCAAAAAATGTCTGGTGAGGCTATATCTGCAGAGGGGGAAATGTCAATTTATACAGAACCATTTTTGAAGTTTTATGTCTGTACTGTGAGATGTCAAGAGAGCATTGCTTTTTTCCCCTTAGTTGTAATATGATGGGTGGATGAAAGTCACATACCCTGTAGTTGTACAACTTCATCACAGGAATTTTGCAGACTTAGTCATATAACAGTTTATGATACTTGATATGCTTCTTAAACAGCCGCATGCACTACACATGGTCCAGGTGTTGGCTCACTGTGGGGAAATAGAGCTGTGGTGTCTGTGGCATAGTTAACTCCTTCCCACGGTTGGACTCTGGTCCTGAGGAGCATTAAGTTTCCTCTTCTGATTCTTTTGACGATTAAATATCGAGTGGCAGCATTTTAGGCTTTAAAAAAAATTAGACTAGATTATTATTGGTTATTGGGGTCTTACTTATTTCACCCCACTCTCGGTTCTTTCTGATTTCCTGGTTTGCTAACATTACCTTTTAGTGCCGTTGCCTTTATCTTCTGCCCCAAGCTTACTGTTGGTCCCATGTGTTTGAATTAAAAAAAAAAAGCATAATATCATTTTATTTATCCTTCTTGATTGAAGAATGCAAATGGAATTTTCTAAACAATTGAAGCTACCTACATAAACCCGAAGTGTTTTGTATTTTAACAAACATATTTCTACAACCAACATTTCTTTGTCCTCGTTCCTTTGTGAATAAACACTGCTTTTCCATAGGTTTTTTTTTGAGCCTGTTATAATACAGCCCCACACTGCAGTTTTGTCCTTAGAGCTTGTTGGGTTATCGCTTTTGCCTTTAAACTAAGTGACTCCAAATCATTGTGATTCTTAAGTTCTTGTGTCTAGTTTTTATACTTGCATTTGCTTCCCATGTGGACTTCCTGTATTGTAAATGTGCCTGACTATAACAGTAGCATTCCTCCTTTATGGTTAGCTGCTCTGGTAGACTGGAATCCTGGTAGTTACGATTATTAGACAGCAGCCAGAATGATCCTGAGCGAAGTGCTCTTCTGTAACAGGATCTGCTCATCTTTGTGGGTACTTTGGCTCACCAGTTTGGATACAAGAAGCCTTTCTTCCTGGCCTCGAAATGTTGTGGCCTATTGAAGACTAACAGATACATGAACCAAATCCAGATAGATAACATAGATTCCTGTTCTATTATCATTTTCTCTAAGATCTAAGTTTATCAACAGTATATGCTATGATTGGACCATAATTCAGAACTGAGACTAATAAGCTTTTAAAACTCATTTTAATATATATTTTATTTAGAAATGGCTGTAGTTTTCTAATGTTTATAAACCATTCACTAGGACCATTAATTAATAACTATCTCAAAATCACTTTCATCTTCACATTTTTGTCCATTTTTAAGTTCCTGTCCATTGGTCTCTGACTCTCATTTCTCCTGTGTGTTCTTGTTTTCCAGATCAGATCCAGAGCAAAGCCTGTAACAGTCCTGGTTTCTACATTTACTTAAGTGAACTTTGCTAAAGGATAAAAATTTCTGATACAAGAACCCATCACCAAAACTTTAGAAACATTAGCACCTTCACTGGTACAGCTCACTGTCTCTACCAGCCGGGCAGTTTTCCCTTTTATTATTAGACTTGTTTTTAATCTCTGTGTATTCGTATTTTGACATCCTATTTTGGAATTGTGATCTCACATGCCACCTCCCTTCCTTAATCCCTCCAGCATCTTCTTAGTTGAATTTCTATAAGAGAGATCTTAATTTGCATTTCCTTTTAGGCGGTCTCTTCTATTCCAGAGGACAGGGTAGGGACAGATGGCCAGGGCACATTTTGAATCAAGCACAGCTCCCTTTTCTGAACTGGAGCTGCCACCCTGAACATGCTTTGCAGTGGAAGATGTGAGTTGTGCTGCCAGTAGATCTCTGCACCTCCTGGGAGTCTGTCCACCTCTCCCCACCACTGCCAGTTTCTTCTCCACTTTTCTGGTTCATTTTCTGAGCTCCTGTCTGTAATAGGCTTCACTTTCTTCTTAAGTAGCTTTATATTGAGTCCTTTTGTGTAGACTCTATTTAATCATAAATTAGAACCAGGCAGGTTTAGTGTCTGGCACAGGTAGAAAGGAGAGAGCAGCTTGTAGGCCCACAGAGGAGCCTCCTCCTGACGGGAGCAGGTCAGGCCGCCTGGACCACTTAGTCTGGTCCTGCTGCCTGTGAAACTGGTTTTGGCACCTGGTTTTGCATTAAATCGGAGATTGTTTTGTTTTTTAATTTCACAGAGTCACTGAGCAATATCATATTTAAATGCCCCAGTGATAATCAGTGAACTAGAACCTTCCAGGTCATGATATTACTTTGCCAGGGCAGTGTGCTGCAGGAAACCAAGAAGGCGAGTGAGTCTGTGACAGTGGAATTTGGGCTTCCAACTCCAAACTCAAATTCCTGGGTGTGACCCAGAATCTCCCTCCCCCAGAGCCTCAAGACTTTACATGGAGTAGTTACAGTTTAAAGCACATTTACCATGAAGTTGACAAATGGGAATAGATTTGGCCGACTGCTCACAAAGTATTATTGAGCAGAAGTGAAAATTCCAAAGAAGTGAATTTTAGATTAGTTGGTTTGTGGGTTTGAAACTAAATTAAAGGGTTTCTTTCTTTAAAAAAAAAAAAAAATAAGAATCATAGAGCCTTTGGACATTGTTTTTACCAGAGCCATTTAATTTCCTGCTCTCATGTAGTCTTCTAGTTAAAGATGATAGAGTGGTAACAGTAAAGAACATTTTAAAAGGAAAACTCTGAACCCTTTCACCCTTATATAATAACTTTTACTTGCATTTATTCTTTTTAAATTTTTACTTATTGAATGAATAAGTATTGAGCTTTTGTGTGTCAAATATGGTATGTTCTCATTTGCGTGCATCTGTGGGATTTGAAGCTATGCGTCTAGCAGTATTTTTTATTTTGTATTTTATAATCCTCCAAGTAAGTAGCTCATGTCCCTCTGAAGCGAAAGAGATCTAGTTTATAAATGGGGAACCCAGAGACCCAGAAATTGCACCTTGAAGGCATACTAGTAGTAGCAAGGCTAGCATTTAGTTTTCCTTGCAGTCTGTATGCTCTAGGTCTGCAGTCCCCAACTCCTGGGCCGTGACCATGCAGTGGCCTGTGAGGAAAGGGGCCACGCATCACCACCTGAGCTCCACACCACACCTCTCCCACCTACCACACCCCACCCCTCTACCCCTGGTCCTTGGAAAAATTGTCTTCCATGAAATCGGTCCCTGGTGCCAAAATAGTTTGGACCACTGCTCTAAGTTGTTTGTGCAGTTAAGAGAATGTCAGGAGTTCTCATTCTGAAACATTGACTTTGTTTTTAAATTTACTTGATTTTATTTATTAATGAAAGAGTTACAATCTGTGAAGGGAGTAGAAAGTCAGTAGTTCCCAAATTGTTTATTTCTTTTCCAAAACCGTTTTCCTTTCAGGAGTTGCATAATTTATATTTGTGCTTATTTTGGAAAGAATGGTCTTACTGAAAAGTATCATGTTGTTTTTCTAGGGAAGGATCTTTCATCTCGAAGCAAAACAGATCTTGACTGCGTTTTTGGGAAAAGACAGAGTAAGAAGACTCCCGAGGTATCAAGTCACACACAGTTGATAATGTTCTGTTTTCATACCGTTTGGTTTTCATCTTTGTATAGGACTATTTATATCTACGACTAGTACTTTTCAGACAGAGTTACAAAAAACAAAAAAATTTTTATAGGCTTCGTAAAAAGGCTAAATATGATCCTCTTAATAATAATAGCTGGTGGATAATAAGCTTTCTAAGGAATCTAAAAAAGGATATGTGTTACCTGCATTTTTTCCTGGTATAAGGACTAAACTTAGAGAAGAATACCTACTGCTGATATACTCAAAGGGGAAAATATCTCTACCATTACCAAAAGAGTGGGAGGTCACACACCAGGAATGTCTGTTTTGCTCGGACTGCATTGCTCTATTTGGAATGTGGCTTGGGGAGGAGGAATGTTATGTGCGTACTCTAATGCCGCTCTAGTCCGTTTTAAAAGCATTTAGAGGCAGTGCTGGATCAGCAGCATGTGGGATTTAGATAGGGTATTTCCTCCATTGTACAATATTGTTTGCTTCAGAACTAGAAGATAAAAATGGGATGACTAAACTACACCTTAAATGGCCTGAACCAGATTCATAATCCTAACTGTTAAATTGAGCTATACAATATTGCATGGAATTTTTGTGCTATTTCGAAGTGTGAGAGCCCTGAATGTAGTTTGGATGTCGAAATATTAGGATTTTTGAAATATGGATTTCTGGAGATAATGGGATAAAGTATTTAAAATTGATATTGTCTAAGAAAATCTGGAATATGTGGTTGCTACAACTATTACTCAAGTAATCTGTCATACTTATGTACTTTATTTCTAGCCAAGACCTTTAGTGACTATAGAACAAAAAAAGATTTACTTGTTATTTGTGGCATTTTTCCAGAATGACAGAATTTTTTTTTCCCAGGATGGTAATTTGTTTCTTAATACTATTTTGAGAGTCCTCAGAATTACCAACAGTTAGGAGTTTCACTGGTGATTCCCTTTGTGATTGGGACTAAATTCCTAGGTCTTTTAGCGCTTTCTGCCCCTGCACTTTTAGCAGAGTGAGCGTGGTGGAAGTGGCCCCAGGAAGGACACCGGCTTCCGGCGCTGCTGAGGGCTGGTACATGCTGGTCAGGCTGAGTCGCGGGCAGGGCAGCCCTAGTGAGGGAGGTGTCCCGACAGCAGGCCGTGCTGTGTGTTCATTCACAGGCGCTTGCTGGAAACAGCCGTGGTCATCAGACAAGCCGGGCCTGGTCCCACCTCTGCCCCCTGTGCTGCTGTGTGCCCTGGATCAGGCCGCTCTTCCCGTTCACCAGGGGCTTTGCATCTGGCTTATATCAGCCGCCTTCTTGAGCCCCTTTCCTTTGGTTCTGCTCAGTAATTTCAGTATCCTCAGGAAGAACCTACTTCCCAGTCCCTTCACCTCCTCTTGCATTCTGTCTCCTCTCCTCTGCCCCGACAGCCCTGTGGTTGCACCCTGAATCTGTGTATCAGCCCCATGTCCCAGCTGCACCCTGGCGCTCAGCCCCCTGCCGTCCTCAGTCCTGGATCCCCACTGCGCTGGCCCTTCCGAGTCCTCACCTCCTCAGATTACGCGGTCCTCCCTTTCCCCCAGCCCTCCTCTTCTCCAGCACCCTCTTTGAAACTTTACTGTTGCACAGATCAGGGAAGGACATATTAATTATGGGCTTTTGATAGAACTTTAAGAGGATTTATGTGGTAAGTGCAGAAAGCTTTTAGTTGTGAGAGATTAGAGGTTTCTGTTCCTCTGGGGGACTTCTAGCTGATGACGCGCTGGTGTTAGTTGTCACGAGGTTTTCAACACTATTTGTGTTGCTTGACTTTTGATGGTACAATCACTCCTAATCGCTTTAAAGCGAAGAGTTCACCTGTTGGAGGCGCTTCAGAAGCAGTACCTAGTAGGAGCCCAGGGAAAACCTGTTTTGGTCCAATTGGTGTAGAGATGATCAACCTTGATACAACACAGTGTTTTCTGCAAGATTTCTTTCTAGTCACATCGTAACCTTTCTGGTTTAACATTTTCTTCTGATGATGAATTAAATCCTAACTGTCGGTAAGGCCGTTTTCTACCAGGTGCTACTCTCGGTCTGTAGCTGTGGTTCTCAAAGCAGTTGCCTTGGAGTTGCCTAAGGAGCTTTAAATGAATGCTAATGCCAGGGTCCTGCCCCAGACCAGTTAAACCCAAGTCTTGGGTTGGGCATTAGTATTACCAAAAGAAGAAGAAACTTTAAAAAGATTTAAAAAAAACCAAAAAACACCTCCCAAGTGGATTCTAGTGATTATAACATTTGATAAGGAGTGAGGGCAGCAAACACAGACAGGAGCCCCGGTGTGTGGCTCTACTGGGGGAGCTGCTGGCTTCAGTGTCACGAATGTTGCCGAGCACAGGCCTCTCAAATCTTAATATGCACACGGGTTTCCTGGTGAGCTCGGTAAACTGCGGGTTGCAGCAGATGATGTCTGGGCTGGGGCTGAGGGTCTGTGTTTCTGGACGTCCCCAGGAGATGCTGCTGGTGGTACCTGCGCCACACTGAGAAGGCGGCCTGGGCGTCATTGTGTGCTGGACACGCCCACGTGTGTACAGAACCCAGAATCTATTCACATTCGTTTACATCACATTTAAGACAAAAAATCTTTGTATAGAGCAGAATCACCCCAAAATTTATCTTTGACATACACGTGGATTTTCATATATTGTTTGCTTTTACTGAGGTGTGCCTATACCTTCCTTGAATAAACCGGTGCTAGGAAGCCTTTCCTTGTTAGTTGCAACAGCCGTTATAGCCAAGGGTGACAGGCTTGTGATCAGATTTCTTTGACAATAAGCCCGGCCTGGCTCCTGTGCTCGGTCAGAAGGAACATTGCTTTTCCTGCTGTGCCCCTGCAGCCACACTGGCCTCAATTTGTAGTTGGCGTCGCCGAGGCCAGGGTGCTGCTGGAGGTTGCAGAAGCCGTGGTGGTGATGATGTCAACACAGAGGTACCTCTGTGGGTGCTCTAGGTAAGGTGCTGGCACTGATCCATCTGCCGCACATAGAGTTACAGAACCTCAGCCTTGACCGCATTTCTGACTTGGGCAGCATCATCTCGTACGTTAAGCCAAGCCGGCTGAGTTTAATCTCCACACCCCTGTCACCTGGAGGTGAACTTCATTAAGCATCTGTGTGTCAGGCAGGCACTGTGCTAGACACTGGTGATGTTGCCTTAGTTAGTCCTCATTGCAGTCCTGTGACACAAGGAAACTAAGGCTTCCAAAGTCATGGAGTGCCAAAGCTGCGACAGTGGGCTCGGAATCCACATCCCCGCAGCTCTGACGTCAGTGCTCTTCCCCACTGTGCCACGTTACTGCCAATGTTAGTGAACTTTTTTGCATTAAAAAAAAATTCTGCATTTAACTGATTTAGTTATGCTTTAGCAGTTCTCCTTGAGCTTTTGTCAGAGACACCAGTACTTAACACTGTATCATGACTTTGTGGGGAAATGATTGGCTGTTGTTCCCCTTGTGTGGAAAATAATGGTTTAAACTTGCAGACTTCACTGCCTTGCTCTCAGTCAGAAGTGAACTGTTACGGGTTCGGAAGGACGGGACCCAATGCCTAGGCCAGCCTGGGGGACAGTTTTACTTTCTTGTTGGAGCTTGAGCTTTGGAGCACAGATGCTGTGTTGCTTGTGTGTTTTCTGGTCTCTCAGGTGAACTGATGAACTGAGTATGTTTATATGCAAAAGTAAAATTTACATTTTAAGTGGTTTTTTTTTTTTTTTTTTTAACAAGGAAGAGATTTTTTTTTTGTACAGTCCTAGATTTTAAAGCTTTTGGATCAAGGACTCTTTTGAAAATCCAATGAAGTCCACTGTGCCCACACAAATTTTGCATGTACATTTTCTTTGTGAGCATGGTACAGGTGAGCTTCAGATTGTGTAGTGGAACACACTGTGCCAAACATCTGATCCCTTAATTATTTTGACTATAACATAGGAAATAAAAAGAAAATTACATCAAAACACAACAACCCAAGCTCAAAGCAAGATACCTAGGCCACGTTTATGGAATTCAGTCACACCGTCTGTCCTCTCTCTCTGCCCTGTACACGGCTAATGAAGAAATTGATCCACTGTGTTTCACATGTGGACTTTCACGCTGGTCTCACACAGTGGATAGTGAACAACTTAGGACTCGTGTTCTCATTTCTGAGTCCCCAGCACGGGATCGAATCCGGTGCTGGTGGGCACATGGTAGGGATTCAGTAAATTGGAGTCTTATTGTACTTGTCTTTCTAAAAAATGGACTTCAGTTGTCATTCATCATAAAAATCACGGTTTGTTGTATAGCTTCAGGGTTGATATTTGAAATGTCTTTTCCTTTTGAAATGTTTAGGTAAATAAGCATCTCTTTCCTGCGAGTGGCTATAGTCATCAGTCCTCCTCCCATACCAAGCACATCTACCTGTGCACGTGGTCGGTTCCTCAGGAGGATTATTGAATGGATGTTTGCTTGTGCCATTTTATGTTTTTAAACATCAATCCAATTTGCCAGAAATTGGTTTTCCGCCCTTGCATTTTACTCTAGAATACTTCTTCATAGCTTTGGCTACTTTTCGTTGCTGTAGAAGTGAAAGCATTCACATTGCTTCAAGGACTGACTCTGACTTCCTCGGTGCGTAGTATTTCCTCAGGCCGCAGGGGCTGTTGACAGGGGATGTTTCCTAGCAGAATCTAGCTGTTCGGAAGATAAAGATCATTGCAAACTGCCGATTGCCCCGAAAACTTTTAATAAACTGTTCTGTGTGGAAATGGCTGGTTGTACATTTCTAATTTACAAGTTCTTCCTTCCCCACCACCTTTGTGCTATATTAATTGGAAGACAGCCACTCTGGATTGGAGAGCGCCTGAATTGGAGATGTATGCGCTTTCTGTGGAGACAAAGAAATGATCGAACGTATTGAATTGAAATTACTAAGGCCCCTTGAGACCTGCAGCGGGAACTTGTGGCCAGCGCCTGCCA